CCTCGGTCGAGCGGATGCTTCTCGCGGCGCCCACGTGCACCGAACGTTTTTCCGGCTTGCCGGTGCAGATAGATAGGTAGATAGATAGATAGATAGATACATAGATAGATAGATAGATGGATAGATACATAGATAGATAGATACATAGATAGATAGATAGATAGATAGAGAGAGATAGAGAGAGAGATAGATAGATATATATATATATATAAATTCTATATACTACTGACTCATGACGTCGCCTTTTTGCTGGCAGCCCCGGCCGAATCCAGTCAGCCTGGGTCCACGGCCCAAAGATCTACGCACGCAAGTGCCAAAGTCAAGGCCTCTGAGTGAGAAAGGCGCAGAGTTGATAAGAAAGAGAAGAATAAAGAATGTGTTCGGATCGTTTAATAAAGGCCCCTTTAAAGGAAAAAGATTGTGTTTTGGATCGAGCCAGAACATGACTCACTCAAGTCCAGGCATGTGCGTCGATAGGCGCACAAATCCTCACTCCTTGGCTAGCCCAACCTTCTCCCGCTGGACCTCCTGTTCTGCGCCGCGGGACAACCCACTAAGGCTCAAAACTACTAATTGAAAAGCACCTTGAATTCCAATGCACAGCCATCACAGTACCAACGCTAACATAGACAATCTTGGTAGCTATAGGGGTATCGGTGTTGGGTCGTCCCCTATCGGTTGCCAAAGGAATGCTTCACCTCTCAAGAGCACAGGGCGGCCTCTTACATATTTAGTATTCCAATAATTTTGTCGGATGCTCATATGCGATCTAACCCGTGCAGATCTGACCCACTGCTTAGTCTCCGCTCTCATGCAGCATCACGCTCCCGACGGGGCGACCGTCGCAGTCGCCGCTCACATTCTCGGCGACGCCGCTCTCGCACACACCAAAGAGGGCCCCAGGAGCATCGTCGCACACCCAACCGCCCCAGATCTGGTCATTCCAGCCAGCATCGCGACAGACTACGGGAGCCATACCGGCACGTGGCGGACCAAACAACAGCTCCTCCTGCCACTTCACACGGCGCACCTGTTTCGCCTCCTGCCTCCGTTCATGCACCTTCTGACCGGGATTCTTTGGTGGCTACCCCTCTGAGGCTACTTCCTGGACCTGGCGATCGACCACATCCACAGCCCACACCACCTGATACCACCTCACGACCGTGTCCCGGCTAAGACGTGCCCGTTCACTCTTCCAAATCAAAAAATGCCGCTTTTCGACGTGCCGCAGTATGCGTTGCAAACTTCAAACACCCCAAATGTAACAAACGCATAATTACTTGCTTCTTTTCAATTGCATGCCGTACTCGCGCGCGCGCCGCGGCGACGCTGACTATGGAGGCGCGCGCGCGCGCGTGGTATCCCACCACTCAATCTCAGACGGTATTTCCCCTTCGCTAACGACGATGTCGCTTTCCAACTCCCATAAGATGCATACCTTCCTGCATGATGACCTACACATTTCTCTTTCACTACTTCTTTCATACCAAACTTATCCCAAAGCCGCCCGGCTTGCTTCTCTGCTCCCTCCATGACCATTACATACGCCCCTCCGCATCCGCGGCACCGCTGACTCGCAAGCTGCCGACCATGTGTCTTGTGCCGCGACGCCCGCCAGAAAAAGAGACACTCGTCTGGCGGCAGCTGGCTTTCGCCTCCTTCTCAGGTGCTCATCATGTCTATCCCCTCTCCACATAACAAGCATAGACAGATTGATCACCAACGCAATTCTTTTTCAAACGAGCCACTTGTTGCTACAGACAAACTTTTGCGGTCCACCCAGACATATGGTAATCTAGAGTCTATATAGTCTACGTTGTCTCCTTACTCCGCTGTGACAAACAATCATAATAAGCGCAACGAAAACCCAACCATCATACAGAATTAGCAATGGAGCGATGCCCACAGGTCCATAGCTAGAACCAAAGAAGATCCACACAGATAAGCACGGTGGTTTGGAAGCTGGATCAAGCTACTTGTTGGAGGGTCCAGAAGGGCGAAAAACCGCTCTCTAGAGGGTCAGTCTTGCGGGTTCTTCACGAAAGCTAGCTTCAGCTGGAGTTACTCTTGCTTTGGCAAGTTATTGGCTGGGAGATCGCCTGCCCAGTGAATTATCCACTGCTAGACCCCTTCCCCCCTCTTTCCCGGGTTCAACTCCACTCTTGGACGTGTCAGATTTGGGCGCATAATAGTTTTGACAGCATTCGTTCTGGGACCAAATTATGTTTCACATCATGCCGCGCATCCCCATCCGTTTAAGGGCCATGTGTAGATTGAGCTAGCTTTCGTCACCAACTCGTCACCAACCCCCGGCCTCAAGTTGAATATAGATCTGCAATCAGATCCGTTTTTTTTCGCTTCACTTGGGGAGGGATCCTCGATGACCAAGGACAGAGCTCTTCGGCGAGGCAAGTGAGGTTGCTGCAGAGAAGCTCAGCAGATTTGGGGAGCGAAAGAACCACAAAGAACCCGTCGAGGATGAGTGACCAGCATTTGGAACTGAGGAAAGAATCAAGGGCCATGTTGGAGGCTCGAACGAACGGATTGAGTTTTGGTGGAGCACGAGAATTTACTGGTGGAGTAGTGATTGGGTCGAGCCCGCAATCTTGATCCTGTATTTTGAAGTGGTACCACCTGTGAAGTGGTCATGAGTGGTAGTGGTGAGGTGGTACCTTTTGAGGGATAGAGGCATAGATGCTAGTCTTATGGGATTTTGTAGAAATGACTTCACTTTAACTTTGTCATACATCAATAAACACGTTTCCTTTTTGTAGTGTCTTGTTTCAAAACTAGTCTGGTTGTGTATTTTGAGGCTTCACTATTCATTGTTGGTCTGTCCTCAGAGGCCATTCGCAATTTGGATGGCAAGCATCTGCTCGAGAACCCACCAGTTGTCCTGGTTCCTGATGTGGTCACGCCAGAACAGAGCCAGGCATGGGCGAACTTTGATTCCATTTGTTTCGAGTTATTCATATTCCATGAGAAGAGTGTAGGAACTCATTCGCTTGGCCGATGAATCCAAGCTTTGGTGGCAGTCTAGCCGCCGTGGGGCTCGCACCGCTGCTGGTGAGGCTGGGTGGGTGGGAGAGAGAGAGAGAGAGAGTGGGAAGTCTGCAGCTTGCTAAAGAAACTCGTCCGTCCAGGATGCGCTACGGACTTCATCTTCTGTGGCTTGATCTTTATGGCACAAGTAACTGCAGACTGCATCAATATAGTGCTGCTCTGATGTTCTCCCAGGCGGTTCTAAGCGCTCCTCGCATGTTCCAGGAACCTCCTGTGAAGGTGCCGAAGACTTGACGCAGTGTGAAAGAGCAATAAGCCCTGATTGTGGATGCTCATTAGGGTGTTGCCAGCTTAGATCTCTGGGTCAAAAAACCAGAGACCTTGGTTGACCTACCTGGAAGGTCAAGCTGCATCGTGTTGTTGCTCCAGGTTTTGACCCACCCCCAGACAAGACTCATTGTAGAACACAAAAAACACTTAGGTTGTGTTGTGGAGTCATGGATCTCTTTTGTGCTCTTCAACTCGCTCTTTCAAGAAGGTCGTTCCTTCCCCACCTTGCAAAAGTGCAGGCGATTCGATCATGGGCCTCTCAGGTGCTGAAAGTACCTGAAGATTCTTGGTTAAGAGGTGAGAAGACTGAGAGTAGGACTCTTTGTGTTGATGTTAAGAGTAATAGAGTCGAGTAAGACTGAGAAAGAGCAAAGAGCCATGCTTCCTTTTTTGAGTTGTCTGCCTGGTGAAACACATAGAATGATGCTTTCTAAAACCTCAAGGTAGCTGCTTTTTCGTTAAAAGGAAGCGCGGTAAGCAGCCAAGCTGCCATCTCTTCCTTTGTCCCAGGATACAGTGGAGGCACTTCAGCTCGTGCGCTACCAGAAAGGCGAACAATACAGTGGCTTGCCGACACTCAAGTGCCACGCTAGTAGTAACAAGTGCCTTACTAGTAGTAACAAGGTTTGCTACTAGGAACAAGTGCATCGCTTCTAGTAACAAGTGCCACGCTACTGAACGTCTTCCATTTCAACCTGGAGATGTTGCACTATGTTGCACATTACTAGCATCAGCTACCAGGTACTCATGTGGATTGGGGGCGGAAGCAAGATGCTAGCCTGTGGTTGGGTGGGCAACGCACCGCTACGGCCTTGACACTTGCCCCATGACCTTGTGGACCTTGTTGAGCACATTTGCTAGACTTCGTTAATGGGTGAAGCCCAAAGCTGAGGATCTACTTGAATACGCTGCCTAAAGATTGTGGTGGTGAGACTTCTTTCGAAAGGCAACGCCCTTTTGTAGTGGGCTTTGCGTTTGCTTTCTTGAGATCTCCACAAGTCCAGCAGCAAATTCAGAATCAAGGTGGGACACAGGCTCAACTTAGGGAATGCTCATCCCCATGGCTTCCTTGCCACTGGTAGCGTCCTTGCTACTAGTAGCGATGCCTTGTTACTAGTAGCAAGGACGCTACTAGGGGCTCCTGGCATCGCTACTAGGAGCAAGGACGTTATTAGTAGCTTCTTGCTCCTAGTAGCAGGGCCAGGAGCCCCTAGTAGCGCTCTTGCTCCTAGTAGCGATGCCCTTTGCTCCGTTCGTAGCCTCTAGTTTGATGGTGCTCGTCACCTCGCGGAGTTGGCCACACTTTCGAGGCTGGGAATCCAGGTCTCACCACAAGCAGGGGCAGCACTTGTGTGGCCCAATGTCCCCTGGCAAACGACAAGAGACTCTAAAGTTTGTTCAGTGCATAGTGAGAACCTAAGTTTTCCTAAACATCTAGGAACCAAATGAATAGTGCAAGCGTGAGCTATCCTGCGACCATGCTGGTAGCTACTTAAGCTACTAGCTACCTCTTCTATTGGCTAGCTACCTACCTAGCTAACCTACCTCACCTCTACACGGCCTCTCTGGGATAAAACATAGCCGACCTTGCCTTGACTCTATTAGATTTATTCTACCATGTTTTAAGATGTCAGTGCATAGTGAGACGCATGAAGTCGGGCACAAGACCAGATGTCTTGCACGGATCTTAGGTCGATAGCTCTGGACGTCCTCAAGACCTTGTGGAACACCGAGCCATGTGCTTTGTTTGCAGAATGGTGGTCTTGTTGTCGTTGACCAACCTGCCGATGGACTTTCCTGCAGGCCGGTGCTTTGTGAGACCCAAAAGTATGCTGTCAATGCGGCTTGGATAAATTGAAGTCAGTGGCATCTTCCGAAGCAACTGCCGGTCTTGCGCATTGACGAGGTTTGGATCCGGGAAAAGCCCCTTCCTGCTTATCGAGGGGATTAGACTGAATTCATGACCAGTGTGTCTGGTCAGGTTCAGTGATTGATTGCACACTGTACAGCTGTAGGTATTAGCTGCTCGCATTATGTTGCCCTCAAAACTGGCCTTCACACCTGAACATTTCCTTGGAGACCACAGTGCTACACGCAGCATATCATATCGGTCAGGCTATACAGCTATAGTTTGATCAATCGCCGGGAAGGGGGGACCTTTTGCCATGCAGCCAAAGACCGCGGGGACACGAGAGAAAAGAATGCAAGCACGCGAGAGAGGTGGAGAATACATGTGCACTGGTGTCCACTAGTATCCACTGTAGGTACAGTGCCACAATGCTTGCGTGCAACAAGGCGAGCTACCTTTGTCACGGGAGCCGGTTTGAACATGCTTCTTTTCTTTCAAGAGCGACTGGTGACACCTGCAACCAGGCGGAGCGATGGGCCTTTGCCTCAGGTTTAGTGCTTGACGTGATGAAGGGGTCCATGTATTGTCCATGTCACAGATGCACTTCTGCCAAGTGGGTGTGCGATAAACAATAAAGTAATGGGGTCCTGAAGGACACATTGGAAGAGGCAAAGTGCACTAGCGACAAGGGACGACTATCATCCAGTGGCTGGGGTTTTCGCTGTTCTGAGACGCACTCAAGCGGTGTTTGAGAACTCTTTTGGTTTTTGCATTACATTTTTTTGCACAACAAGCTGAGGATTTGGCACTAGTCCTGCTCGAAAGTGCATTGAGGCAAGGCCAAACGCTTAGGAGATCAGAATGACAATTGGCGAATAGCAGTTCTTATTCCCTGCTGGGTCTAGCAGGTTGGGGTCCTGAAGTAGTGTGTGCTTCCAGCTTTCGGAGGACTTATGCCATGCATTGCCAGGCACCATGCCATAGGACCATCGGACTCTTCAGATTGTTCCCCTGATTGTGGGAAGGCAGATCCTTGCTGCTCCTGGTGGGTTTGTGACATAGCTTAGAGTTGGGAGCTGCCCTCTAAATCAACTTATACAAGAGCGTGTTACCATCTTGACGTCCTGAATATGATTTATTCTCACACAACTCGTTTGTTCAGTTGAAATTGAGACAACGCTATGCGAGAGTCGCAGGCAAGCCGATAAGCCTGACGATGCTATCTCAGCGAGAGTCTCAGCGAGTGTCTCTGAATGTTTGGGATGTGGAGTGAGCTTGCTGTAACAAACCTGTGCATCCTTTGCATGCCCAAACCACATTCTGTTTACAAATTCGCAGTGCTAGAGTAGTGCGCTGACCGAAACTTCGCAGCAAACATTTGCACCTACTGTACGTGGATTAGGTTAAAACATGTTATTGAGTTCACTTGAAACATGACTTCGTCATGCACACAGAGAAATTGCTGCTGACTTGACACACGATTCAGGTGCTGAGCGCAGGCTTGGGAGCTTATGCAGCGGCACGTGATTGGCAACGAGCGGTGCAGGTGCTGCTGGAGGCAAGGTTCTCTAGTTTTTCCACCAATATGCAATATAATATATTAGAATCTTATCATATTATATATACACAGTACATGATATTTATATAGTATATAAATAGCAGAATTCGAAAATTTCCTTAGTAGTAATACTAATTTAAAGTCTTCTTTTGTTTGATAGAATGATCAACACAGCGGCTGAAGAGGATTTCATTCTGTAGTCGATAACGTCAGTAATCTGCCAGATCCAGCTGTTGGCGCCGCGAGCACAGGCGAGCACATGTTGTATCCTTTTGATCGATAACTTTGTGTTGTGGGTTCGGCAAAATGTATACTCGGTGATACAGAGCATGTCAGGGCAACGAGCATATATATATATATATAAAACAATATTATATAGATACTTGGTGCCCTTTAAGGTTGAGCCGAAGATAGTCAGTACTATGCTCGAAAGATTTGCACCATGCCACATTGGCATGGTGTTTTGCAACGCAGGCAAAGCATTGGCTACAAGACGCGCAGACAACAGTAAGGCTCTTATTCCCAGCAGGAAGATAGATCTTAGCAATCTTAGGCACGGCCTCAGAGTTGCACTTGTGCGAAGATGGCTTCCACAGGAGGGTCCTCCTAACAACTCCCCTGTATGTGGGAGAAGCCAAGGCAATGTTTGCAGCGCTGCAGCCAAGTGGATGGGAGCAGTGCATGGTCTTGTTCCAAGGACGGGCAGAAGTCTGAAAGCTCCCTGAAACCTGGATTCATCCAGATTCTGTCTCTTTAAAGTCTTGAAACATGCGGAACTTTCACAGGTCATGCCAACCTCACTTCGCTTGGCTGCGCCATTCGAGCATGTGGTATGGGCAGGCAAATTGCCGAGAAATGAGCAAGCGAGAAGAGTGCAGACATGTCAGCAGAGGGGCGTGGCTGGGACAGAGCTCTACAGGTACTGGCTGGGAGCCTTGCGGCTCTTAGACGAAGGGATTGATGCATTGAAGCAGCAGCGGCATGTGTTGAGTGTATCTCCCGCATTGTCACGAGCATGTATGGGCTCATGTTTGACGCGAAAATTTGTTATCACCTTTGTGTGCCCAAGGAAGCGTTCTTTCGAAACAAAGAAATGCATGTTCTCGGCTTGCTAACAGTTACACAACCTGACTTTTCAGCTTGCATAGTGAATCATATTGTTCTTGCCCAGCCTATTGCATGCAGTTGCACCTATCAGGCACATGATGTGCTCGGGCACTGGTTTACATGCGTTTCAATGAGCAGTTTCACTGAGCACATCAGCGGTGTAAGAACTGCCAGGTGTGAAAGGAGAGCTTTGTGGAGCGCTGCTCACCTTGCCTGCCAGGACCGAGGGAAGTTAGAAGTTCTTCCATTGCAAAGGCTGTACGAAATAGGTCTGACTTTCAGCAGAGCATTTGGACATTTTGAACGCTGGTGGAGTATATGATTGTTGGACTTGCTACTGAAAAGCATGCTACAAAGTGGTGAGTGGTTGATGGGAAGCACCAAGATGCTTTCGCCAGGCATCGGAAGCTCCGCAGCCATTATCACCGGAGCTTTCTCAGATGGCATTACCCCTGTGAAGGATGAGTGCCGGGTGCAATTTTTAATGTGTGTCCAATTCATCCCAATTCTAGAGATACTCCTGTTGGGCAGAACCGCTTGCCCGGAGCCTGGGGATATTCCGCGTGTCGGAAGCTTCAGCTCCTCTGAGAAAAGGGCAGATTCCTGCCGATGTGACATTTGTCCGCTTCTAGCTACTAGTAGCGATGGCCTCCAACCTAATAGCGGTGGCTTCCACCTAGTAGCTTCTTGTTACTAGTTTCTTCTAGCTACTAACAATGCTCTTGTTACCGTTGTCCAAATTCCTCTGGAATTGAACAGTTACAGTAGACGACCAAGTGGAGTTATCATTCATCAGAGTTTGCCACGATCATTTAGAGATATAATGTACTAGCCGAGTTTTGGCTCACAGTGAGATACACGATACATCTGCAGGTTGACAGCATTACACATGCATGGTACCCGCAACTTGCAAGCACGATGGACATTACAGTTCCAAGGACAATTCTGAACCGAAGAGCTGAGACTCAAGTCTTGCAATTTTTGCAGCTTAGACGCAACATGTATTTTCAACCACGCCCGAGCGCCATGAATTACTGCCGATGCAATATCCTTCTGGAGCACAGGCCCAATAACCTAGGACATTTTCAGGAGCAACCTGTTCCCAGACTTTTCATTGTGTAATTGCATAGTTATATATATATACAGTACAATCTGATCCGGGCAGCCTCTCGATCAGTCAATGCCAGGCGTGACATACTTTCCACAAATCGCCGATGCTTTCAGACGACGCGGATCTGTGCGATGAGGCAAGCAACCTTTATCATGTAAGACATGTGCCATGTGCATCCCTTTGCCTCAAATAAGTTTCAACCTGAGGTCAGACAACTGTGAGTACCGTTCGTCCAACTTGAAAGACATGGAGACACAGACGAGATGGGTAAACCTATTCCAACAGGCAATAGGCCTGTAGCGAACAAACACCTCATCAAAGGACAAGACACCAAGTGTGGGCCTGGGCTTGTTTACATATTTTCTATGGCCTGCTTTGAAACAGTCAATGCAATTTTTCCCATGTAAACTCAATCTCAAGTTAAGTGTTCCCTAAAAGTCTAGAAACCAAATCACTTCTAGGTTGGAGGCCATCGCTAGTAGGTTGGAAGCCATCGCTATTGGTATCCCTAAAAATCTAGGAAGCAAATAAATCGTGCAAGCGCTTCTTCAAGGAAATCTGCCTCCAGCCCTCAGTCGGGGGAGCTTCCTTGACGAAGCGTGAACTATCCTGAGTCCAGTCATTAGTAAGCTTTCTAGTAGCATAGCTACTTAGTTAACTAGCCCTTACTTGATTAAGTAGCCGCCTACTTAGCCAAGTAAGAGGGGGCCAAAAAAGAAGAAAACACCCAGAATGGTATGTTTCGTCATTGAATGTGCAGTGTCCGTGGAGGTCCTCCATACTGTTGCCCGCGCCTTCCGCGCATGGCAGCAAGCGCTGGTGCAGGCGAAGAAGGCAGAGGGCCGTTCTTTTGAAGCCGACGTCGGCCAGACTGACTAGGGGATGAGGTCATCAAATGAAGCGATTGGAAGATCTTTTTTCGATTGCGAGTCACTGAGAGTATTGTCCGCCCCAACTTCAGATACGCCTGGAGTCAGCAGAGCCACAAGAGCCACAAGCGCCGCGAGCAGAGCCACGAGCATCAGTGGCCAAACTCCTTGGCAGTGCGGTGCTTGGGACACAAACTACCTTCGAAGATTGGCAAGCGCGCACATCAGGTGAAAGCTTCTTAAGATGCTAACAGAGACAAACCGTCAAAATCGGAGAATGCACTACTCGTGTTACTCGTAGCTCAATGATATCTGGGGGCAAAAGCAGTATTTTTGGTCAGGTGAAGGCTATCGGCAGCTCGGTGTCGGGCGTCGAAGCTTTCGAAGTCCACGCTTATCGCAGGAGTACGGGAGCCTATCCACATGAGATAAATATTGCCACTCCAATCAAATCATATTTTATATAGAGTTATTAGGGGAGTGATTGTAGTGACTGTGGTCGAACCGCTGTCAATCAATTGTCGAGTTTAAAGGTTTCAACACCAAAGGCTCCGATAACTGATGCCAGCTGAGGGCTCCGGTGGAAGCTGAAGTCGGCAGAACTACAGAAATTGAGTGCCTTCGCTGCAGAAGTTGAGGACTTTCCGATTGCACATATATAGTGTATTAATGTGTTGGATATTTACACTTGTATACTCGGTTAAAACACATACATTTAAACAGAGACGTTTCAAAAGCCTGGCAAAGTGCTTGACCTTGGCTCTTTCTTGCTCATTGTAGCCTGAAGCAGCCCGTAGAACCAGGTCCTCTCCACAAGCTGAGCAGATCGAAGCTGCTTCGCAGCTTGGCTCAACGCCCACAGTTTGACACTAGTTTGTAGACTCTTGACAAGCCTGTTGACGATGGGTGTGCCTGGCTGGTGAGATGTGAAGAGCATAGCATTCTTGTTCAAAGAATGCATAGCGAGGTGAGCATCGACTTTATAGCTACTCATGCGAGCATCATAAGCCTCTTCAAGAATTTGTGTGTTGCACTAGTATCGCTATCACAGCCACTCGCTCTTTTTGCGCTTGCCGCTGCTTCAAGCAACAGACTCAGTAGATGCCATACAGGCCATACATTCTTTGCATTTTGACTTGAAGACTCCAAAGTCCTCAAGCTTCTCCGGACTTCCTCAGAAGCCCCGACTCATACTTTGAATAGCAGATAGTAAAATTCATGCGCACCACGGCCACGCGCAAGCATTTGAGTTTTTTCTTTTACACTTTGGTAGCAGACCAAGCTCCCAAAGAGACTTGCCATTGACCCTGGCTTTCGTGCAATTTAGACCTCATGTCGCCATGACCGCTGCCGCCAGAGATGCGCTCAATACGCTGGGTCTAAAGCCTGGATGTACAGAACAGGACCAAGCTGTCGCAGAAAGTAGGAGAAACTAGTAGCATCTTGTTCCTAGTAGCGCTAGCCTCCACCTAATAGCATCCTAAAAGACAAACATGTTCGAGTCTCGATGGGTCTCGGGTCTCGAGGGTTTTCTACATGTTTTGTTCACCCCCATGCCGCCGCTAAAGTGTGCTCCTTGCAGGATGTCACACAGGCATTCCGGCGCCTTGCAAGAAAGCGACACCCCGACAAGGGCGGCAGCAAGGAGGAGTTCCAGGGTCTGAGAGCAGTTTCTTGGACAAGCTTGCAATTCTGTTTGTCACCTTTTTTGCCTTTGTGGCAGGTTGGCCAAGGTCGGACGACAGAGGGGAGGTTCTGTTTGAAGTCCACTGAGGCCTATGAGCTGCTCAGTACTGCTGGAGTATTAGAAGATCTTGGCTCAACCCCTGCGCCTTGCATAGAGACCGCTGAAGGGAATCTGATGCATGCGTGAAAGCAGCCTTGGAAACAGCTGGAAGAAGCAGAATCTTTCCATTAGTCAGCCTTTGACAATTTTTCTGTACCGTAGATGAATGGTAGCAACCAGATTATGACGCAGTCATGCCAACAGCAATATGGAAGATGAGTTGATCTTGACTTTTGGAGCCCATAGTAGTGTCCTTGCTCCTAGTAGCGATGCCAGGAGCCCCTAGTAGCTTCTTGCTCCTAGTAGTACGGCCAGGAGCCCCGAGTAGCGTCCTTGGCTCCTAGTAGCAAGTAAGAAGCTCCTAGCATGTAAATGAGGGCAATTGATCGATGGATTTTGGACTTTGCTCAAGGCCAATCGACCAGCCCCGATGCCGCCAGCAGCAAGCCCCTTTGCGAAGATGTGGGCGGAGGCTCAAAACTGGAAGCGCAGCAAACGACCGACTGAAACATTGAGGGCATCGTGCATCAGAAACACGCATCTGTTGAAACTTATGCCAAAAACCCGGCCTTTGTCTAGGCACAGCGCCTCAGCGCCCAGGAGCGGGCTGCGCGGAAGGCCCAAGCGGCCCAGCGTGCCTCGATGAATGGCACAGAGCGGGTGCGCGAGGCGAGTGCTGTGAGAAATCTGTGACGTGAAGAAGAAGCCTACCCTCCCCCTCCATCCACCATACTTCCGCCTGCAGGAACCCATCAGTTAAGTCACGTCAGTCCCAAGGGCTGGGGTTCTTGTTTCCAGCTTCACGCTCGCCAGGAAGGGCGGAGGCGAAAACGACAAAGAGAAGAAGAGGACCAAGCAAAGCACAACTTTGAGCACGTGAACAGATACCAGAACTGCTGCGTGGCCTATACGTGGAACACTATATAATTCATAGCTTATGGCAATTGCTCAATCTACGTAGTCATTTTGAAGCTCCTATGTCCTATGTTGCTGCTCTTGCAGGAACGTCGACATGCAGAAGAGTGGGAAGAGCTCAGGTCAGGTGAATGGGGAGGGGGGCAAAAGGGGGTTCTGGTCAAGTCATTGTCCAAATTCCACAGGCTCATGCCAAGTCCAAGGACAAAATGCTCAGACTTGGCATGAGCGCAAGCGAAGTGATGCGAAGTGATGCCATTACTTAAGTTTCCCTCAAAATCTAGGAACCACATGAATAGCCTTCTTCAAGGAAGCCTCCCCCCTAAGGAGGGGGAGCTTCCTTGAAGAAGCATGAGCTATCCTGCGTCCATGCTAGTAAGCTACTAGCTACCTCGTCTCGGCCTACCCGCCCTGGGCGTCCGCCAGAGGTGCGACTTACGTGAGCCACGTTTTTTTTGCAAATGATTAGGTTTATACAAAAAGGGAACTGTTGAGAAGTCGCGGAGGCTGTTCTGCTTGGGGCGTAGGCGTCGTGTAAGCATTTTGCGTAGGTGGGTGTTGAAAGATTTGCGTAGGCAGTCTTGCGTAGGCACCCTTTTCATGAAAGCCTGAATTTTCTTATTCAGACTTCTTTAAAAGTTGTTCAAGGGTCTTGGGGAAAGATAATGTTGGCTTGTAGTTGTTTAACTTGACACTTGCTTGCAAATTCCAGTGGGGAAGGAAAATGAAAATGAATTGTAACAGCATCGCGACCACATGTGTTTGCAGTTGGCTGTTCATGAAGGTTGAACACGCTTGAAACCTTACCTTTCATGGAGCCCTTTTGTGCTTAGAAGAAAGAAGAGCGATTTTGCTTGAGTAGGTTATGAGCCCAACTGGCGCTTAAGGTGGTCAGTTTGGGTTCATTGTGTGGCGTTTTTTCCTGGCTGCCATGAGCGAGGGCGCAGCTTCTGAAAGGACACCGGAGTCTGCAGGGATCAAGGCGATCGAAGACGCCGGCCCTAATGATGGGCTGATGCGGCCAGCTGGCCCTCCGGTGGTTCTGGGGCCTGACTCCTGGAATCCTTTCTGGTCAGAAAAGATGCAGGACGAAGCGGTTTTGAGAGCTCTCAGACCGGTAGACCTTCCTGTAGAGTCCCCAGAGCTGTTGCCGGATCCTGGTATGTCACCACCAAAGGAGGGTGCAGAGGCCTTTCGAGCTTTCATCCAGAACATCATGTCAGAGAATGCCAG